GCGAGAAGGCCAAGGCTTCCGTGGGCAAGTCCGTCACCTCCGGCGGCGACACATCCCCGTCGCCTTCTCCCGCAGCGACGAAGAAGAGGAAGATCGGCGGAGCACCGGCCGCCACGGCACGGAAGCCTCAGGCGGCAGCAAAGGCGGCGGCGGCGGCGGCACCCGCTGCGGCAGCAGCACCTACGGCGGCATCGAAGTCCCCGGCGGCGCCTGGCCCGAAGAGAGTGGCGAGCAAGAAGCCGGCAGCCGGTGGTGTTGGCGGCGGTGGCACCGAGGGGAGCGTCGCGGCAAAGCGTAAGGCTAGTGGCGGCGGCGGCGGCAGCGGCGGCGCAGCCGGCAGCAAGAAGAAGGTCAGCGGGGGGAGCGGGGAAAAGAAGGCCGAAGGAGGGGCACCGCGAAGCGGGCCGTCCAAGACTGCTGCCGCTGCCGCTAAGTCCAAGACGAACAGGAACAAGAAGAAGAAGGGCTCTTCGTCTAGTAATAGTAGTGCGAGACGAGAGCTTTAAAGAGTGTACGTGGTCTGTTCGTGGAGACCAGCATGGGGTCGGTACGTGTGATCGGTGGAGACCCGGGGGCGGCGGGGTGGCGGCGGCGTAGGTTGTTCACCACACATGGCTCTCATGTAGGAGGGCACCTTGCCTTTTTCTTGGATCTTGGAGGAGCAGGAGGGAGCTTCTGTTCCGGAAAGTAGGCAGAACCTTGTGGTGGGAAGAGGCATGTATACCTAGGGACTGTTCATGTTAGGTGACAGCTGTAGTAGTAGAGAAAAAACGTCGCCGTTGAGTTGTCTCGTGGGGAGCGTATCACGTTGAGCAGAGTGTGGGAAGGGCATGTTTGGGTCAGGTTGTCTTTTTCCCTTTTTGCCGCGTCGTTTTCGGATGTCTTCCCGCAGTCTGTAGGGAAAGTGACACGCCGCCCACCAACAAGTCACGCCACACGTGCGTGCCTGCTCATGTGTTGTTGCCGTTTCGATTGCGAACAGTTTCGACATCCGTTCCCGCACGTCATGATCGTGAGTGATCCGTAGACTGATCGAGACAATTTCTGTGGCCCAAGTCAAAGCCACAGAAATTACGGCTTCGCCTCTTTGTCTCCCCGGCTTGCCGTGGCTGTGGTAACGCTTTGTGCGGATCGGCTCTTCCTGCACTTCGAACATCCGCACGGGTCCTACACTTCAAGTGCGCCTGGCATCCACAACGTTTGCAGATAATAATTTAGCGCTGCTGTGTCTCTGTTTGACGTCGCCTTTCTATGGAGCTTGTTGGAATCCTGTGTTCTGCATTTATTTTTGGAACGCGCGTGTTGGGGGGGGGGGAGAGTTGATTTTTGTGCCGAAACCGGTGTGATACGGTGCCATCCTGATGTTAGTGCGAGTGAAGAAGTTTGATGGGTTGGAAGACTTTTCCCCGCAATGGATGAAAGCTTGGTGTCTGTGGTGTCTATTTCCTCCGAGTCTTCCAAGATGCGGGGTAGATGACGAAACACGCGGGGCGCTTGCAAGAAGGAGAAACGCGAGAGCAGAGCAGAGGGTCGTGAAGAAAGGGGGTGGATCTTGGTTCGTCGGTCGCTATTTAGACAGCAGTCCGACGTGGAGAGTGATCCCTGAATGAAGCAAATCAGCACAAGCTGAAGCTGTTTTCTCCAGCCAATGATCGAGCACCTTGCTGCCTCGACAGTAATAGTAGTTCCGCATACTGCCGGACAAGGCTGACAGTGAAATTGCGCCACAACACGATGTTCAACCAAGCACTTCTGTTGTGTTGTAACGCTTGCTGGGCACGCTGCCGACAGGACAAGAGGCTACACTTTAGTTCATTCACTCTAAGCGTCTGTTGCGCTTTAGTTCACTCAAGGTTTGATGCGGGAGGTCAGCCCGTCAACATCATCGTGCCCGCGGTGTCGTTGACATGGTGGCCGCCCGTTTTCGAAGCATACGTCGGACTTAAACCGTGCACACCAAATTTGCATTGCTTCTGCTCCTCCGCGCGCAAAAATCAGAAAACCTGGGACCATTGAAGACGCCTGCCTAGACACAGAAAACCCACCCAAGCGGCGAAGCCACCACACCCTGCGGCAAGAGAATGATTCTCCTGTCCAAACGACGCCCTCACCTTTCCTCTCCGCCCTTCGCGCAACACACCCGAGCTCAAACAAGGAAAAAAGCACACACGCACTATCCCTTGATCGCTGCAAAGCACGCAATGGACAGACACGCGACCAGCCCTTCAATAACCCCCGCGTAGTTCGTCCCTGACAAGACCTCTGGAACGTGGCGCGGGCTTCGCGGAAGTCCGCAGCAACTTGATCTACGGAGGTAAAAAACGGTTCGCACCGCCAACGCGTGATTCAGTCTCCAACAAGGTCCGCAACACGCACGGCATAAAGACATTACTCCCTCTCCCCACACCGTCCTCACACGATACGGCATTGCGGAACAAAAAACAAAAAAAAAAGTGCGGCAAACGTGCGTCCCACCACATCGTGGCAATGCGCCACATCATGTAGGTATCACGTTTGCAAGCCTTCCTGCTAATAGGTTGACTACGCCGCAATGCTCGTCGCGTGCGACCCTGCGAGCGCCACGTAGCCCTCCGCGCTCTTGGTCAACTGCGCCTTCTCGGCAGGCGTGACGTCCCTCATGTACACTGCTGGGTTTCCGCCCCACACCTGGTGCCAAAAAAGCGAACACATATATACATACCGCGATTTTGTTCCATTCACACGCGCGACCGTGGGACGGGGCGGGGGCCCGGTGTGACTCGTGTTGAAGATTAATTTTCTGGGTGAAATAAAGACCGTTCGGGCCCCTGTGTAGAGAGCACCTCCTTTCGTGCGACGTTCATTCAACGCAAAGAGACTGGTTCTATTGGATAACGGGCTGACCCGACATCAGGCAGAAATACGGAACAATAAGAGAGGGTCTCTAAGCATCCGCCCAAAACCTCCAAGGGTTGGTTCCTCAGACAACTGAGCCCCAGAAAGAGGGGGGAAAAACAGCAACGGAGAGCCCAAGAGCGAAAGTAGGGCCCTTCGCTCAGGCTAACACCCTGAAAATGAACCTCGAGACGGAGCCATCGTACTTGTACTGTAGCCCCTGCGAAGACGGGATAGTTCCTCGTCGGGGTTTTGCCGAGACCAGATGTCATCCCCGCCCTTACAGTACAAGTCGCAACCAACTCATGAACAAGAACCACATCGGCCGCGCAGGTCATGGAACAACAGAACGCTATACCCTACCACTAGCACTCATCTCGGCGCGCCTACCGCGCGGGGAGCTAGCTCTCTCTCTCTGCTGGGATCTTTATCAACAAATCAAACACGCCGCAAAAAATAGAGAGAACCCAGTACCATGGACGGCCTCTAAGATGCCACTGCAATAGGTGCACCGGTATCTGATACCGAGTGAGACAATTACACCAAAGATAATACAATATTATCTGTGGACAGAGATGGGTTTCGTTGTGCTAGTAGTGACAACAAGAACAAAACAAAACAGTAGTACGCGTCAGTTGGACCAGCAGTACGGACATTAGAAGGTACTCAGCGGAGACCGGGACGGCTGATAATGTGAAGACAACAACAACAACAACAACAACAACAACACGAGCAAGCACGGAACCCCCACCTGTCCGGCCCCGACGACCGTGTCTGGCTCGACCACCGCGCCGGCCGCGACGATGCTCCCCTGCTCTACGGTAGCGCTCTCCACTACGGCCTTCATGCCCACCATCGATCCGTCCGCCACGGTTGAGGACTTGAGAGCACGCCCAGCGAGCGAGAGCGAGCAACGACGACACCGAGCCCAACCAACCCGGCCAACGACAGGGCGTTTCGTTCCATGCGACAGCCACACGCCATCCGCGTTGCCAACGGGGAGGCGCCGCCGTGCACAACAATACATGGGACGTTCCAAGAGTGAGCGCGGCGGCGGCGGGGGGGGGGGCGGGGGGAGGGGGGGGTCTTAAGAAGAAATACCTACGAGTATCGCTTGTGGTGGGCGATCTGTCGATGGCGACGTGTGGGTAGTAATCCGCTCGCCGGCTGCGGTGAACTTCGGTCGTAGAAGACGCCATGCCCCCCTCGCCACGCAAGCTGAGGGGGGTGCGGGAGATCAGATAGCGGCTGCTGCTTGTAGTCTGCGGTAGCCAGAGAATGATCGATCGCGTCCGTACAAGAAGGAGACCACTTGAAACCACGCAAGCGCCGCGATAAACGTTGCAAGAAAAATTCCCGCCGCCGGACGCTCCCCCCTATCGCGGTTGGAACACACGCTCCTTTTCACCTTGATAATTGCTCCATGCCCGATGGTTACTCCAGCGCCGACGCTCACGTCCCCAGACCCGAGGATAGCGTCGTCCTGCACGTTGCTGCCCTTGCCGATCGCCACTGCTCCGGTGTCCCCTTTTTACGAACGAAGGCGACAGGTACAGCACCGGTCATTTCGTGCACGCGCAACGAGAAAAAGAGGTCACGGGCAGTGGGGAATGCCTTCTGCGCGTGTGTCTCTATTCTGCCTCCACCTCCCCCTGTGTACCTCTCTTCCGCTCCCTCGCCTGCCTCTGCGCTTGGAACCGCTGCTGCATGCAGCCCCCCGGATATAAGCATGTACAGATCTCGACAAATGTCTCACCCCTTACAACGGCCCCGTACCACACCGACGCCTCGCCGGACACGTCCACCTCGCCGACCAGCGTCGCGCTAGGCGCCACCCAAGCGTCCTTGGCGACCGCGGGGGCGGAGGCCGCCAGTGGCATCAGCTGTCGGTGTCGGGAGACTGTTGTGTTCGGCCGGTGAGTGAAAGAATAGGAAGGAGGGGCGCGTAAACAAAAATAAACAATACGGCGGTATATATATATATCAAGGGGCAAAATATAACAGAACGACATACCATACATAGCGATGAGGGCGCGCAGGGAGCGTGAGAGGTGGGTTCGCGTGTGAAACATTTGGTGAGCTCCAGATACATACAACTAGTAGTCCGTCCGCGTCCGAGGGGGGCATGAGACACAATGACAAGAATGCATAAAATATCATGCTACAGCAGTAACATCCACTTCATCGGTACGGACGATGTTTTTTGTTGGAGGGTTTGCTCTCAGGCATATTTTTTTTGCGTTGATGCATGTGTTCCTGATGGAAAACGGTTACAACTCTCCGCGGACGACCAAGCCGTCCGAAGCCTTGTACCATCTTCCTGTAAGTCTACCTCGCATATCAATGTACTGTCCATCCTTGCTGTTAGTCTACATCGCATATTTATCTAACTAAATAGGTACCCAGTTCGCTGCTTGACTCTATTTAGCGGCCGATTGCGAGGCATGGGCTTACGGCGGCGGTGTGTGTGGTGTAAACGTCAAAGAATAGAGCCCTTGCTATCTGCCGGACATGCCCCGAAGCTGAAAGCTATCCACAGAGTTTGCACATCAGCTGTTCATTGAGCGGTTCCTTGTGACACAGGTCATTGGTCATCGGCGGTTGGCATGTTGTACACATGACCGCTGCGCGGTATTCCTCGGCGACAGACTGATGCATGCTAAGGAGACACAAAAAAGACGCAACTTTTCACTGCTATTCCCAAGTTTGCACCGAAACACTATCTTACATGCGTCGTACACCTACAGCAGTACGTAAGCAACGCCCCCGCGACGCTGTGTTTGCGTCTGTCTTCGTCTACTCCGAGCGTCGGAGTTGCCGGGGGTGGCGGCGGATAGGAGGTGACTTGTTGTTCGTTTGTACTTGGAGTGTACATATGTAGTTGGCACCACGGCGGTAAATAGACGAAAACACACACGCAAAAAGTGCAACGTCGATCGAACCGGAGATGCTACGCTCTCTCTCTCTCTCTCTCTCTCTCTCTCTCTCTCTCTCTCCGAACAACAGATGCAAGTGGAGAGAGAGCGACGTCCTTCGCGGCGATGTCGTCATCGTTGCAAGAGAGTGTGTTTTGATCCATCTACAGCAGGACAGACAGGCAGCAGTTCGCAAGAGGCCCAACTCTGGAAAGGCCCGGCACAGCGGCATTCAGCAGCAATGCAACACGGTGTATCTCTCTCCGCGATAGCCTAGGCTCAATCACTCACACGTCTCCATGATGAGCGTGCTGTCTTGGCACTGGTGTCCGAAGCGGTGGAGAGCCTGCCCGGTCTCTCTCAGGCACCTTCCGAGCGTACGGGACACAGAAGTCATGCCTCTCGCTCTGTCTCTCTCTCTCTCTCTCTCTCTGCAGTCTCCGTATGTCCTTCTCTGGCTTCTGCAAACGAAGCTGCTCCGATACGTAGCACACGGCAACAAGCCTACTGCTGTACTTTTCCTCGAGTAGAGGGCAGCACGCAAGCTCAAAAACAGCAGTCGAACGCTACGAACAGAGCACCTGCCACAGCGAGCACGCACGAGGTGGCCGATGGGGGGTCGCCACCAAGTATCTCTCCACCCCCTTCGATTTTGAAAAATGAAACATGGGGGGTGGGGGGGATAGGGCCCCTCGTCACCAAGGTGTCGTCACAGGGACTTGAACTTCAACTTAACGTCACAAATGTGTTTTTTTTTGTCATTTTTTTTCGGTTGGATTTGCATCAACGGCAAATAGAGGCGCCGTGGTGCGATTTCATTGGCCGAAAAAAGCAAAACACTTTTTCGGACGGTTACGCCGGGACTGTCCGGGCGGGTCCTTGATGATTGGCCCGAGCAACGGTTTCTCCTCGCGCTGATTGCTTCATTATGGCAGCTGTGGTTGATTTTCCGCCAACGGATAAAGCGTCGACGTGTCGACCCTTTTTTTGTTTGGGTTTCTCGTATCCCCCCCCCTGCTGCGCTCGCCGCCACGCCACACGCTACATCTGACCTACCCTGACTGATCCCCCTATAACACACGTACGCGACCGGAACAACCGCTGTGTAACGAGAGAAAGCGCGAAAAGAGAGAGCAACAACGAAAGAAGCTCCCACGACGTCAGAGAGAGAGAGAGTAAAGCGATTTCAAAAGAGCGGAAAAAGAAAATGTCCACCGCAGGCATGGTAACAAGACCGCGAGGAGACGTGCGCCGTGGAAGGATTATGAGGCCACGCGCTTGCTTGGCGATTGTGATGATGCTCTTGCTGAGCCTCCATGGAAGAGCTGCGCGGATCGCGCCCCCCTTCTCCGCTCAGCACGCTAAGCAAGTCCTGGCGTCCGCATCAGCCAGGTACACGTCGTTTTGTTCTTTTTTCCCGAGATTTTGGTGTGTCCTGGTTCGGGTGGCCAGGTCATCCAACACCCCGCCCCGCCCCCGTTCCCCCCCCGCGGCCCTATAGATGCCCCCGGTCCTAGAAACTGTCTTCATGGCCAACGTACTTCTCCTCAGCAAGTTTTGGTGGCCGTAGGGCGAACAGGATCGGCTGAGGGTTGGGTTTTGTGGGTGTATTATATTATAACATGCCGAAAATGACGAGAAAAAATTCTCGGCTTTTTCAGATGACTTGATTGCCGTAAGTAAGACGGTCGGTTAAAACCGTCGCGAAGGGTAATGAGAACGGGCTTGCTGACACCGGCCACTTCGGTGATCCCCTCGACGCAGGCGTAGCAGCGTGTTGCATGCTGCACGAGGGTCTTGGAGGTGAAGCCGGGGGGGGGGAAGATTAGAGGAACCACGAGTCATGTCTTGTTTTTCTCCCTCTAGATATCATATGACGTTCGTTCTTGTTCACGGTACTTTGTAGTGGCTTGTGGGGTGTTGTCTGTTGGTTTTTCCGGGCGAAATCAGATCTCGGCACCAGGCAACAGAGTTGCGCTCATAAAGTCGCTCCGTCACATCATCTTGATGGGACATCTAAATCTCTACGCGTACATGTACGTACACCGGCGTCACACCCCGCTGTGTACCGTTTTTTAGGGACCGAATAGAACCGTGTCCCTGTCCTACTTCACCACGTACCAATTATTTTTCACCGCAGAAGGTTGAAGTATTCTGTTCGTTCTCTTGTGTCCCTGCCCGTAGTTTGCGTGTACTTCGACGTTGTTCGACGCTGTTCGGCCTTGGAATTCAACGAGCACTTCATTCTTTTAATTCTTTTGGGCGTCCCTCGTTGAAGCAGGGGTTGGTCTTGTTCCCCCCTGATATATATCCAGCACGCCGTATCGCGTCTTGTCCTGTGTATGCATGCGTTCTGGTGGCGTAGGGGGAAACCTTGACCTTGTGCAGATCTATGTCTACGTTCGCCGCCCTCTCCAGCGTCGTGATTATGCATATCTTGGTGCTGCAGAATACCCGAAACCATCAACATGTACACTCCGTAGTTGGTATTCTGCCTCGCTTTTCCCAGAACAAGCCATTCTGTGTCTCTGGTATTGCTGTATCTGTCGCAAGACAGCACATCTTTTGCCCCTCGCGTGTATTGCTGTGCCACAGCAGGAGAGAAGTTGCAGATTGGAAAGAGTCCTATCATGAAAAACGTTGACCGGTCCCATTGATCCTCTCGTGTTGTATCCCTCCCCGCGGTTTGACACGTCCGAATCCGGTGGAGAGCACCGCTACAGCCGTATTCGTCAAAGGTCGATACTCTATATTATTAGGAAAAATAATTACACACACAGAAATCTTTGCAGTATCTCCTGCTACTTCCATTTTCTTCGTTGTCTTGGTACAGGCGAACGCGCATCATATTTGACAAATCGCTTCTATTCCCGCCACCCTGCGCCCCGCCCCCCCACCCCCTCTCGCTCCCACCACAGGCTGCACATGCCCCCCGTACCTCGATTACAAGGGCCCGCGGTGACCCGCACAGTGGTCGCCGTTGCCGCCGCCGCTACCGGCGCCACCGCCGCCCGCGGCTTCCTGGCCGCCCGCGACGGCAGCGCCGGCGGCGTCGGCGTCGGCAACCTCCTGGAGCGCCTCGGCGCCCGCGGCGTGCTCGCGGCCCGCCTGGTGAGCGACTTCGCGGCCGCCTCGATGGCCAGCCTGATGGTGAGCCCGTTCATCTCTATCGTCGACCGGGCCATCATCCAGAGCGCGAGCGGCAGCATGGGGATGAAGGCCTCCGTGGCGCAGGGCTTCCGGGTGCTAGCGACGAAGCCCGCGTTGTTCCTCGCCCGCCCGGACTTCATCTGCACCTTCTGCCTGTACGGCGCGACGTGTGAGTGGTGACTGCTTGCTGGATGGTGTGTATGTACAGCGCCTCTCGATCTTGGTTTGTGCGTCCGGATGTCTTGTCTCGCTCGAAGATGATGCGCGCGTCGCGTGTTGATTTGTGCATTTCGAACCGCCAAACTGTTTGCGGCCGCTTACCCAGCTTTGATCGTTACCCCCGCTACCGCCCCGCTTGACCCTCTTTCGCCCGCCCGACCCGGATAAAACCACTGCCACCCGCTTTTTAACGAACCAGACCTTGCGGCTAATACCATCTCCACGATGGCGGACGAGTTTTCCCGCTCCGACACGATGCCCAAGGTGAGACAAAAAAGCAAGGAAAAAGCCTCTCTCTAAACTACCTCCTACTGCTGTGTATTGACTACATAGTGCCAGAGTAGTATTGTACACAAGTAGGACGAAAACACACAAATACTTACCTGTTGCTTAAATATATCGTCGGGTTAGGGATGATCTCACCCCTCGCCAGGACCGATCTTCGGGTGTTGAGGAGGATTTTCTACTGCAATCGGGGTACCGCAGTTTGTACTCATGAGGGTACTCACAACGTCGACAACTTCGGCACACTGACAGTGCCCCGTGTATGTATGCATATGATCATGCATACCCCGCCCCCTCCACTTACCTGACATGTCCTGTCGAAAACAGTTTCTCGGCACGACGGCCATCAACATGCCGGGTTCCATCGCCAAGGACCAGGTTAGTGACTCATCTTTTGTTCCTCGTGTGTATGGAGAATTATACGATGGGGTTTTGGGGTTGCAGGTTAGACACGACAATAATGCCTCTTTTGAGATGAGGGCGTCACAAGCTCAGCTCGGATCGCCGGAGGTGGTCCTTGATCGATTGCATATGTTGTAGAAAATATCCACCATTTGGCACGCGTGGCGGAAAGACCGACGAAACCGCCAACCGCTGTAACCGTCAACCTGGCTTTTGCTTTTTTTTCTCGTCTACAGGCCTTGACGAAGATCTTCGGGGTCGTGGGAAGCGCGGCCAAGGTGCCCGCCGCCAGCTTCGCGCTGTTCACCGTCAGAGACGTGGCCACCATGGCTGCGGCCTTCACCCTGCCTACCCCCATGTCCACCAAGGTGAGAGAAGAGATGGCTCGTATGCTTAATTTTCGCCTGACAATTGCGTCGAGGTCGGCTGTTTCTGTGTGTGTTGCTTTTGCGTGTATTCGTGTCTGTTTGAGGCGAGCTTTGTACCCCTTGTTTGTGTTGTTTTTTTGCTCCGGCATTTGTTGAATCAGCCGTCTGCACAGGGCGACGTGTGCCGTTCTCTTGCTGTGTTTTCGAGGAACGTCGATTTACGGCGCTAGTAGAGAGGATACACCAAATGTCCGGAGCTCACATCGGTGGTGCAATGTCTTGTCCTCCCATGTCATCCGATAGACGTCTCTCATGCGCACGGTGCGTGTGGTTGCCATTTTCAAATCGGCCATATTTTATGAAGCCGCGTGCGTTTTTCTCCTCGTATTGGGATCGTAGTGCGCGCGTGGCATCACATGTTGAAACCTCCCTTAGACGCCCCCATCCCCCCCCGCCTCCCCCTTCCAACTCCCATGCCCCCCACCCCCCCATACCCCCTCACACGGGACCTCCCAGATGCAAGACTTCGGCGTGGACAGCGGCATGGCGGATGTCACCTCTCAGCTGGTGTCTCCCGGCCTGGTCCAGCTTTTCTCGACGCCGGTGCACATCCTGGGGCCTCGACCTGTACAATCACCCGGGGTCCTCGTGCCGCGCCCCGCCTCCGGGTCGTGCAGGACTCGTTCATGCCGGCGATCGCCATGCGTGTGGCCCGCATCGGCGTGGCCTTCGGCGTGGGCGGGCTGGGCAACACCTCCATCCGAAATAAGCTGCACGGGGCCATCGCCAAGTCGGCGTGGGCGAAGCAGCATCAGTGATGGCAGCAGCAGCAGCAGCAGCAGTCGGAGGCCGCCTGAGTTTCGTAGATTCGGGGAGAAGAAACTCCTGGCGCGCGCCGAGGCAGCGAGCAGCAAGCAAAACTCGGTGGGTAGAATAATGATAGGAAGCGCCGGGTGGGAGGGGGGGGGGAGAGAGACCGTGGCATGCAGGCAACGGAGCTGGGAATAGTTTTGTTTGCTCGTGCCGCTAAACTTGGTGGTGATACGTGTGTGGGCGTCTGTTGTTGGGCCGTGGTCACGCTTCGACTTCGGCAGAGACACACACGGAGTTGGAGCGCAGAAAAGAGCGTTTAATAATAGTAGCAGAGAAGGAAGAAAAGGACGTAAACCGAATGCCGCGCTTACGATCGTTGGACGTGTATCGTGTGTGTTGTTCGAGACCGCTTTTTTCTCGACTCGGAAAGGGTGCAAATGTAAATGGGGAAAAACAGGGGGCCTTTCATATATTACACCTAGACTTGAGAAGGTCGGGGGGAAACACCCAGAAAACACCAGTGCGATGTCGATGCGGACCTCTTCTGTCGCCGAGACATGGGGAACGGGGAGGGGGGGGGCAGTGTGAGCGTGAACAGCAATGATGTACGAGTAGAATTTACGGGCGTGTGAAGCCTACCGAACAAAGTAGAAGGCAGAGAAAGACAGGGGGGGGGGGGGCACAGGGACTAGACCCGAGTAGCGAGACGAAAAATAGCGCGACCGTGTGAAGTTCGTTGCTGTTCGGTATCGGAACAGAGAGGCGGAAATTCTGGCGTGTGGACGTGAGAGGTGATGGAAGAGATTAAACCGCTTGGGTCAAACCGGGGATTGGGGTGGGGTGGGGTTAGTCTGAGCATATACCCCCTTGGGGGCGCAGGCAAGGGCGAGAAGGTTTGCCGCGCGCAACAGCAGTGCCGAAAATACGTAGTATAGGCGGCGGCGGCGGCGGCGGCCAGTGGTGTGATGTGAAGGAAGAGGAAGAGCCTCCTGCTCGCGTGAAGGGGTCCATGCGGCAGGCGTTGTACGGAGACAGAGGACAGAAACGCCGGTGGTGGGCAGTGGACGGTGGTGTGTGTGGTCGTTTTGTCAAGTGGTAAGGGTCGGTCGAGTGTAGCGACGCGATGCGACCCGTGCGCACGACCGTAGCGAGGTTTGTTCGGTGAGGAGGAGTGGAAATGCTTTGTGGTGTTGGAGGGGTCGGGGCTTTGGTCGGCGGAAGCAGAGCTGGAGTGCCCGCTCACCTCCCTTCGCCCGTCGAATCACAGATCGGTTGTGGTGTTGGAAGGCAGAAATTCCGAGGGAAGCCCCGACCGGCCTCACCTTGCCCCTAGCGCACCGCTGGTTGCAAACCGCGTCTGGCTGGTAGAGCAGCACATGCATAACGGGGGCCGGGGGGGGGGGGAGGGGTTGGTGAAGTTGCGTTGATGGGTGGCGGAAGGAGGTGTTGTGACTGCCGCAGGGCACCGCGGTTTCACCGATTTTGATGCGGTATGTGTTGTTGGTGTTTTTTTTTGTTGTTGATGGGTACGGGTGGGTACATTGTGAAGTATATGATTAGGTGTTCTTCTCTGTTGGTCTGATCTGAGGCAAGAAGTTTCTCTCTCGGCGCTCTGATGGGTGGTACCCACCACCTTGAAGAATATCGTCGAGTGATTTTTTCCTCTGTATCTGTATTTTTTCGACGAGTTGTTGTGTTAAGACGGGTGTAATAAGGGAGGGAACAAGAAACGGTTTGAATGATTGTGAAAAAACCTGTTCGCGCGAAAGAAGAGACCGTTCAAAAATCGGTCGTGTGTCAAAACATGCGAGCAGCGAAGCAAACTAGTGCCTCCAGAATTTTTATGCCGTTTAGTATTATAGTGGGTGTTCGAATATTTGTTAATTTTTGCCGTTACCGCGGCGAGTAGTAACGGTTTGCGTCAAGACAGTGCGTGATGTGTTTGGCGGCACCGACGAAACACAAGGTAGGAAGGACGTTCTCGAGACAGATGAAGGTGTGGTTTGTGACAAAAGCGTTCGAGACGCACGTGCGCGTGCGGCTTGATACGCGGAGGAGCTAGACAAGGTGATGAGTTTGTCTGGGCTCTTTTAGATTGACATCTGTTTGGAGCACAGGTATTTGGCGTTGTCGTGAGGGAGAGAAGACAAAAGTTTCCTTGATTGAATGATCCTACTTTGGTTCCATGTGTGTGTTTTTTTTTTAGGGGAGGGTGGGGTGCAGGAGGTGTGGGTATACGATTTTGCCTTAAGACGCAAGGTTGTACGGACGGGACTTGGACCGCCAGACAGCGGAGAAATGGGGAGAGGGTGCGATTTGCGTTGATGTTTTCGTTCGCGTTCAATACTGGCTCTTGCTGAAACAACAGCGGTGCCAATCGCCAGGGATGCTCCTAGAGAGCTGTTGTCCTACACAATGAAAGCTCTCATGTAGCGGCATGTCCATCCTTGGTGATGGCGGCAGCTCCAAGTTGGCCCGTCTGCAGGAAGAGAGGTGGTGAGAAAGAGAGAGAGAGAGAGAGAGAGAGTGGGAGGAGAAAGACAAAGAAAAGAGTGTGACGGAGAGAAGAGAAGTTGAGAAGCGCAAAGAGTGAAGGCCACTGGGGGGGTAAAGAGGCCAGGCGGAGACAAAGGCTAGAGGATCCCCCCCTTTTTCTTGTCTTTTTATGAAAAAAAATCCAAGGAAAGGTGGATGGATGGAAAATGACGACCTGTTTGTTGGAAGACGACGGTTTGAGTAGGTACTTGAGGGGCACCGACAGATATCTTCGGACGGATGGGGTTGGTGGTGGTGGGGTGATGGATGATGCTCTTGGCGATCTCCGCCGTTGTTGCCATGTCTGTTGCCCGAGTGCCAAGGTTATGGTAGGGTTTTCTACTGCTTGGCCAGCGCGGTGTGCTTTGCTTGAACACGCGTGCGTGCGTGCGCGGGGGCGGACGGGGAGTGTCCACTACTACTGCCACAGACGTCATGTAGTGCACCTGTGTGCGTTTTGAAAACGCTTGGCACGTCTCGACGAACACGGACGGGGGAATGGGTGCGTGTGTATGCTATCCGTTCTGTTGCGAACGATGTTGGTGTGGGACATGTAGGGCTGGGGTGGGAAGTGGGGGGAGAGAGAAGAGAGAGAAAGCATGGCTCGGATGGAGTATTCCCTCCAGGGAAGCACAAAAGATAATAAAACGAAAAAAAATTGAGACAACCAACACGGTCGAAGAGAGTGGTGGGTACACCGATACCTCTTACTTCGATCGATCGTAGGTGACCCAGCAGACCTGCGCTTATTGTTGGCACTGCTGCGTTCCGTCAGCCCAAACGAAGGGGTTGAATTGCCTTCAACACACTCGGCTGTTCAATTCAGTTCAGCATTTTGCCCCCGAAAGGAAGCAATCGATTACACGCACGCATGAAATATAATTTTTGCGCGCTCCGTAAGACAGAGTGTTGAGCAAAATACGCCTGTCTGTGCAACAAGAGGTGGAACAGGTTGTTGGCTACTACCCGCTACTGTTTCGCGAAGAACGAGAAAACCCCACTCGCTGCTGTTTTTTCGTATTTTCCAAGCTACGCTCGTCCTGTGTACAGCGCGCAAGCAAGCAGATCGTGGTTACGTTGTGGGCGAGCGCATGTAGTCTTGGTAGGACATCGCAAACCATCACCCCTCTGCAAGCTTCATTCGGCGGCTTCGTTCGGCTCTCTGTAGCTGAAAAGAAACGGCCTGTACTGTCTGTTTCGCCCTCCGAATTGCGGCCGCTGTCGATTGAACAGAGAGCGTTGAGTTCGAAACACCCCCGGTACCACCACCATGTAGTACTTCTTCACACTTTGCCCTCAGACGGGTTGGCCTCTCACGCTCCCCGGATCATGCCGTGTGGTATCGGTGTCTACTTCCGCACACCTATGTATGCATATATATCTCGTCTTGTTGCTTCATGCTGAGCCGCCCATAACAAAAACAAGGTGCCTTCACGAATGACCGCGCCTTCGGCAACATGTTGCACATTTGATAGAAAAAGGCTGTGTTTGTATTTATGTTTCCTAAAAAGGCTCGGAAACTTTTGCCTTCCTTGCGAAAAAAAAAATCCGGAGCGACGGCAATCAAACGATCGGTACGGGTAGAAAATCAACAAATTATTTTCGACAAACCCAATTGTTGGGAAGGGTTCGATTGACCTGTTGGTGTAGAACAAGGCTCATAACCTGTTGGCATGTAGCCTTGTAGAAGTACTTCTTTTCCAGATGATCGCAGACGAGAACTAATCTTGGCGCCTTGTTGATGCTTGATGTTGGTGCGTGCGGTGTCTGTCTGTCGTCTTCCTCCAAGAGAGTGATGATACGATCATCGTTTAATATGTTGTCCACCTCCGCCGAGTCGGTTTCTTCAAGGTCAATCTCGAAATCCTCCGATGTGTCGGCGAGTGGAAGAACAACAACAGGCGGTTGCTCAACAAAGGTGACGTTGCGAGAGCTAGCGATCGTCCTGTCGCCCTGTTGCAAACGAGACAGGGACTCGATGAAGTCCTTCGTTGTCGGATGGGCTTCCCCATCCAGGAAGTCCCCCGGCTGCCAACTTTTTGCAC